CACGGTCTGCCACCGCCCTGGGCAAGATGATCACAAGGCCTTTCTCGACTTTCAGCATAATGATACTTAAGGATCCAACACAAGGACACTAAATTTGATCGAACCCCAATCCTGTTGCAGGCTCAACTTCATGTACAGACCTCAAAATTATTACAATTGAGCCGAAACCCTACAACCCTACACCCGTAAACCCTGAAGCCCTCAACCCCAACCCCTGAAATGGCCCCTGACTCCTAAAAGCCCTAAACCCCAACCCCTAAACCTTAAGCCCGAAACCCTGTACCCCCTAAACCCTAAACCCTATCTTACAACACCAAAGGCAAAAGTCCCAGGACGGCAGCGGAGTTGCTTCAGCTTGGGTCATCCTCTTAGTCCCACTGGAAGAGCACGTCGTCGGACCGACTCAGCCTGAGCATCTTCGCAGAAGGCCCTGGGTGCTAAAGCCCTTTACTTAAGGAGTGTACCTTGAAGTGAGGCAGTGAGGCATGTTTATATATGTACATACAGACATACATAATATCATACATATATATATATATACACACACATAACATAGTAGTGTACTCAAAACTCACACCCAACCGAAGAGCCCAAATTCCCCCAAAGCTCTGAGCCCAAAGCCCGGATGCAAACAAACTCACAGTAGCAAGCCCAAAATCCACATCAACCCTAAATGCTGTAAGTGCTCTACAATACTTCACTTTATGAACCCTGCAAGCCCTACAAGCAGTGTTTGACCCTATAAGCCCTCAATACAGAAACGTGATCCTGAAAACCTAGACACCTAAAGAGGTCCTAAGGCCCTAACTGTCAGACCCTAAACCCTAAACCCTAACCTGGAAGATGCTGCTTCGGAGCATTGGATTTCGAGTACGCTGTGGCCTCGGTGCTCGCGGCACGCCCTCCGGTCCAAAGATACGTCGAAGATGTTCCTGGCGGGCAAATTGTTTATAATGTGCTGCTCTTTCAAGGGCCTTTAGGGTGAATGAGTCTCTACAAGGCTTGTTGGCGGCTATACGGATTTCTTCGCAAGGGTAAGTGTGAGTTCAAGGACCTTTAGGGTGAATGAGTCTTTATAAGGCTTGTTGGGCTATAAGGATTTTTTTTAGCAGGGGTACAGGGGTTCTATTCCCTCGCGGTCTTTGCATCAAGCCTCCTGTTATGTAGCTACGGGTACTCATGATGAGCTCCCGGTTTCGGTTTCGGAAACCACCAAGTCCTAAACCACATCCCCTACTGTAGGGGCCTTCACAACTTTGATGGACTTTCGGGGTTCCTGACTATAGTTATAGTATAATACTCACCCCAAACCCTATTCTAATTGTCAAGGCCCCTATATCATAGAGCCCTTCTTGTACCCTTTATAGTAGGTCCTATAGACCCCTTTAAAACCGACCCCTATTCTAATTATCAAGGCCCCTATATTATCTCCTGGGCGCCTCAAGGGGACGCGGCTCAGGCGAAAGGAACCGGCTGCGCCCGGCTGAGCGTGCCGGCTGCTCGCGCGAGAGGCTCTCCTCGCTTGATCGATCCGAGATGTACCTTCAAGAGAGGGACCCCTTTGAGTTAGGGACCCTTTGTGCAAGATCCGAGATGTACCTTCAAGGGAGGGGTTTGAGTTAGGGACCCAGTGTCCAAGGAAAAGCCACCAGGACAAACCATCTTTGCTGTTCGTGTAGGGGAGCACTCGGGGACAGGGCTGCTCTACCAAAACAACAGTGACCGCCCACCTGGAACCCTCCTTCGATCCAGAAATTGTAGGTGATTTTTTTTTTTTTGTTTAAGGGCCTTTTTCCGTCTGCATAATCCAGCGAAAGTCTCTTTTGAGACAGGCTCTTGAACTACCGTAGGTGAATTTTGGTTATGGGGCTTCGCAGTTCGGGCATTGGGGCTGTCTGCTTCCGTATCGGACTCATGCCACGGAGCGTTGGTTGGCCGAGGCTAAACCTCCTCCTCCTCTGAGTGCCGTATACAGTAGCCTTACGAGTTAGAGTGGGCAGTATATCACAGCATACGTTTTCTAGCGCTGCATGGGGATTGTCAGGGCGGTAAATCATGACTACAGTAAGTCTTCAAACTGTCCTGGATGGACACAGGTCAAGTGAAGCACTCGAACATACATCGGAACCCTAAGCATAGAAATCTCTGCCAGGAACAAGAACTGAAGCAACCCTAAACTTTAAACCACTAAACCCTGTCAACTGTATAGTAAACCCTTGACCCTAAAACCCTAAACCCCCTAAACTCTATGAACCCTAAACCCTAAAACCCCAAACCCTTAAACCCCTAGGGCCCTAAACCCCTAAACCCCCTGAGCCCTAAGCATAAGGCCCTCAGCCACAAAGAACAAACCCAAAGCCTCGCCTACGAGCCCAAGACCCCCGAACGCAAGACCCTGACTGAACCCAAAGCCTCCAAAACCCCTTAATTAAGGAATATACCTTAAATCATACAAGGGATCCTATTATAATGTAAGGTATTTTCGGTTTAGGGCCCGGAACCAACATACACCTCACGATCTGAGGGCCTACAAGGGCCATAAGAAAAAAGGCTGGGGGATATTATACGTTATTAAACTGTAACTCGAAGGAGGAACCCTATGGAGGGTACGGTATGCAGGCTTCTAAACCAGAATATCATTGGTCTTCGGAGCCTTTGAAACGGTTGATGATATAAATCCTGCATTACCTTAAGGACCCTAAACTATGGTAATTATGATATATTCCTTATTATGGGTAATGCAGGATTTATATCATCAACCGAAGAAGTGGGCCCCCATGTCTTTAGTAAGCAGCACTCTCAGACCCGGGGCTGCGGGGCAGGTTCTTCATTCGGAAACCCGGCCCTAAACCCTAAACCCAAGCCGGAAACCTTTAAACCCGAGAGCGAAAACGTCAGACCTGAAGGCCCGACACATCCTATGGGCAGTTCTCTAAGCTGGGGTCCCTTCTTCGACGCCCCACTTTAGAGGACTAATCACTCGAAAAGTCTTGCATCTGCCTGGTCGTCATCGGCCCCGTTGCGGACATGTTGTGCACGCACTGTGGTTCAGCCAAGAGCCAAACTACTTGACGTTTTGGGCCACAGGTCTGCGAAGAAGCTGGGTTTCGGATTCAGGGCTTGGGGCTTAGATCGTTCGCAGGTGTGAGAAACGAAGGAGAGACAAAGCTCTAAGGCAAAAAACTGACAGGCAAGGCTTAGTAGTCCGAGTACCATAGACATACTCGTTAGTCGTTGTGCGTCATATTGCCTCCGAAGAGCTTTGCACGCTCATCTACTAAACCGGTCTACACATGAATTCAGCTGCTGGCAAGAACCAGTATTAATAATTAGGAAACCCTGGTTCTCTGACCACAAAATGAAATATATATAAAAATATATATATATATATATATATATATACATATATATATATATATATATATATGTACATGTATATGTTGTTACATATATATATATATATGTTCTTACGGATATACATACATACATATATATATAACCCTGATAAAGACCAAAGGTTTCTTGATCAGGTTGCTGTATTAACACAAATGCCGCTCGGTGCCCTTTTGGAAAACGGTGCTTAAGTATTTCGCAAAAGCTGAAGTCCCCGACTGCTGTGGCGTCGCGCTAATATAGGAACCTGATTAAGCAACCCTGCGCGCCTATAACCCCAAAACAGTAGGATTCATATAAGGAACCCTGATAAAGGCTCAAGGTTTCTTAGTCAAGTTCCTACATTAGTCTTTCGATTGGACGCCAGAGCCGCGGACCCGTCAACAGACTTTAGTAGAGAACACATACAACTGCATGAACATCATCATAGCAAATCTGATACGCACTGTTCTCACTGGTATTCATCTAACGAACAGTCCTGGCACAGCCATAACGAACGACGAGATGAATATGATGCTGCTGATGATGACGATGATTGAGGGTGAAGATGAAGATGATGATGGTGAGGGGGAGATACTTTCTTGATGTTGAAGATCCCCTTATGCAAAGCCTACTATAAGGCCTCTTTAACCTCGTCTCCTAGCTGCCTGTTCATGTATATGGGGAACTTTCGAGTGCCGAGGCAAAGAAATGAAAGAAGAAGGGGTATTTTGAAGGCTCAGGCTTTGGAGCATAAGGTTTAAGGATAGGGTCCAGGGTTTTGGGTTTAGGGGGTCCATAGCTCGAAACTTTTCAGCAGGTTCTTTGGCCCAAAGCCTGCAACCCCGCAATAGACTGCCAGAGATCTCGAGGTTGCGCACCCTTGCCTTACAGCCCATTAACTTGGGGCTCAGAGCGTGTGGTGCTACAAGGAATCGGGCTCAGACTGCTGAAAGTTCGGATTTGGGATTTGGGGAGGCAAACCCTGGGCATCAAAATTGCCCGAACAGCTATATATATATATATATATATATATATATATACATGTATATAGTATATAGTATGGTCTTTGGGCCCAAGAGCCTTGATATATGAGTCCTTAGATCCCTAGGCGAAGCTGCAACTTCCCACGACCTCCCGCAACTCCGGCAGCTTCGAAGACCAGTTCCGCCAACACCCAACCAGGGTTTAGGGTTTAGGGTTTAGGATCAAAAAACCTTTTGCCTCCCTGGGGATGAAAGTATTCCCAAACGTGTGATTACGACAGTTATTCTGAGTACTATGTATCATTATTACTACTGTCACCATTATACGTTATACGTATTATTACCAGTGCTACCATATTTTCCTTTTTAGCATCCACAGGCCTTGGGCTCTCGGGTTGAGGTCCAAAGATATAGGGCGTATGATGTTTAGGGTCTGCTGTCGAGGCTTAACTAATGGGCATAGCAGGGGGTCGGTCTTACACGATATCGATGCTGTAGGGGTTCAGGATATCTTTGGCCTGTGGTCAAAACTGACATGGACGAATCGTCTTTTGGCTTGCTTTCGGCCTGAGTTGCTGTACAACCAAGCTCGTGCCGTGACGTCCCGTTTCGGGACTCGGGGCGGTCTAGGCGGCTATTCTGTCAATCACTCTGTATGGGCGGCGCCAGGATTGCGACATGGTGTGCATCGTCCATAGACACGGAGATCGCACCATTGACGGGGTTAACCGAGATGTAGCCTTTGTGCTGGGCATTTCGCCCTGACGTTCATCCCTCCCACCAATAACTACCACCAGATTCGCAAAACCAATTTCTTGCCGGATCGACTTTAACTGATGCGCGTCGAACCCTGGCCACCCCCGAAGAAGGAGAAGAGGCAATTGCTCCCCGGAGCCTGTTGCCCTACAATTCACTTCAACCCTCAACCCTATCCCGACCGACCAGAACCTACTTGTCGCAGGATGCCTACCAAGTCCATATGCGGGTTCATCAGAGGACCCTGCAAAACGCTAGCTCGGTTTAGGGTAGCGTGCACAATGAACCCTACCCGAGCGGCTGTGGGTGTTGCCAAAGTCGGTGAAGGTTCCAGGCAGAATGCTGCACATGAGCGATCCATCAGGTCGAAAAGCAGCAATGCGCTCGTTGCCTCTGGGGGTTCCCTCCCCCTTAGGCTCAAAATGGGCCAGAAGCCTTCTATAAATATGGTCCTTAAGCCTTAGGCCCAAAAGCCGTAAAGTATGACGAGTCTTTAGAGTTTTAGGGTACGGATGCCACAGGCAATGCTACGAGGATGCAAAGTCTGGGTGTTAAAGTGACATGACTGAGGGATAAGATCTGGGAGTTTCCGAAAACAGGGGATCCAAATATAGTACCCTGAATAGTAGGCTCCTTCTTACGAGGACCCCAAAATGAGGTACCCCTAATTTTCGGCAACTCCCATCTCGTTTGTGGCGGGTGTTGCTGATGCCTTGGCATGTCAAGGCGCTATGTACCCATAAGCTTGCGGAAGCTGAGCTCAAGCTTGTAAAGACCAGAACCCAGGAGATTGATGCTTCGTAGTGCGGACATTTTCGGATCAACTCAATCTTCAGTCTGCTTCCATCTCAGCCCAAGCTAAAACGTCTAGAAATTCAACCTCAAGAAGCCCTTCCAGGCCTGTGTCCATCACTAAGATATTCCCGGACAGATCCACTGCAACATCGTTGGGGTGCTTCAACTCACCCTCGCCAATCTTGGTGCGGTTTCCCTCATGGTCCACTAGCCATACTGCGTTGGCACCGCGATCTGCCACGAGAAGACCACCATCGAAAGTGCAGAGGCCGGATGGCCCGGTAAAGCCATCCAAGTTGCCTCACTGCAGGGGCTATAATAATTAGAACAGGGGTTCCTTGTAAAGGGGTCGAAAATTATGGCTTATGTAAGGGATCTAGAAGGGTACTCTAATGTAGGGGCCTTAGTAATTAGAATAGGGTTTTGGGCCCATTATTCTATATTTATTTAAGAATGAGGAACCCTGAAAATAGTATTGGTAGTTATTTAGGACCCCACATTACTTGTCCAGTTTCTCAGGGGCATGCAAGCAGAAGGCCCCTCTTTCAGAATTCAGGGGGACATAGTACTGATCTCACATCAGCCGGTGAGAATACACATCAATGCCGACAGACGCTGGTTTAAGGAGAATGCAAATCAGCCTCCAAAACGGTGAAAAGATTAGTTGCTCTCCTGCTGAGTTGCGCAGGTGTTGCCCGGTTTGCAGGTTGAAGACGTCGATTTGCCCAGAGCCAAGGTGCGACACGAACAGCTCCTCTTCCTGGATGGCGAGACCTGGTGGGACCATCACTCTCAGAGAGCCCAATGCCCAATATCCCCAAATTGTTTAAATCGTAATATTAAGCCCGCCATAATTTAAGGTATATTCCTTAGTGACTTACCTTAACCCCAAATAACCTACCTTTTGGAAGACTTATACAACCTAACTTTTTGAGGAGTTATATAAAGAAATCATACTAGGGAACCCTAACAAAGGTAGGGTATTTGGGGTCCAGGTATTCCAAAAGTTTGCTACTTCTCTCCCTAGATGGTATAATGACCGTCTGAGTGCTACTTTGCGTAGTAGGGTAACGCTTACTCGCCTTCGGGCTATGTAGGGAACAATCTTCTTGGAATCCAGCTGGGTGGTTGTCAAAATCATGGTCCCTTTCGGGGTACCCTAAATATGGGGTGCTGTACTATAACCTACTTGTCGGGTATCATGGGGAACTAAAGGTTACCCTTTTTGGTTATGTAGGGATTCTATAGGGACTGTACTACCAAAAAAATCAAAGGTTACCTACGCTACTACTAGGATGGACCCTTTTGGGGCACTCTAAACATTGGGTGCCGTACTATAGCAAGAAATTTCAAAAGGGACCCTAATAAGGGACCCGAATAAGGACCCAAAAAAAGAACCCTAATAATGACCAAAAACACGACCCTAATAAGGACCCGAAAAGGGACCCTAATTCTGACAACCATCCAGCGAGGCCACCTGTGCTTTTGTTTCGCTGCGTTGTAGGAATCATCCTTACCAGCTCGAGCGTGCCTCAGCTGCAGTAAGGGTCAACTTGGAGGCACATGGGTAGTTATAAGTGGGGCTATAAGTAAGGTAACTATAGTTAGGGGTTAGAAGTAGGGTAACTATAGATATAACCCATATTAGGGGACTTATAACCGTTAACCCCACTTCTAACTACCCATGAACCTCCAAGCTGAATTCTTTCGCCCAGAAGTAGTCGCCTGCTGTCGGTTCGTCTAGCATTATGTTCCCCGTTTGAAACCAGCAGGAAACTCATGAATAAGTCTAGGGGGGCTCTTGATATACGCAAACCAAATTCTTGAAAAGGCCTGATGCATAACCAATGTCATACACAGAACCAACAATAAAGCTTGCCTGTGCGAACACGAAGGGGCCTGAGTCGACCACAGCAGCACTGCCATCATAGCAGGCCATGAGCAATTCCCCATTTGGCGCCATAGCCTCGGGTTTAGGGCCTTTCTGAAGTGTTTCGCACTTATCGATGTAGGGCGAGCATGTCCGGTGTATGTGTAGTTCCCAGGCATACTGCGTTGTCTACTCTGCCCCCTGCTGCTCGCAGCTATATGGCATCGTTATATAGCTTGCTTATGGCCTCAAGAACTACAGTAGGAGTCTGGTGGCCATCTGGCTTGGGTGCACCACTGGAGGAGATTTCAAGACCGTCTCCCGCAGCAGCTTGAGCTCAAGGTCGTATACCTGAATCGTGGCGCCATGACGCAACTTGCACCGACACCACCACTTCCAGCACCAGCACCGCCACCAACACCACAACCAAAACGATAACCATCGTCATCAGCGTCACCATCATCGTCATCAACACCATTACCATCACCACCACCATCACCATCACCACCATCATCACCATCACCATCACCATCATCATCAACAACAACAGCTTCAACATCATCAGCATCATTATCATCATCAACCATCATCATCATCAACATCATCATCACCATCATCACTATCCTCATCATCACAATTACCATCTCTCTGACCATCCTCACACCACCAGCATCGTTATCATCACCATGACCATCACAATCCTCATCCTATCCTCACCATCACCATCACCATCATCATCATGATCGTGTCTGGCACCCTTATGAACTGCGCTCACGTGTGACGTCCTCGTTCTTGTCTGCATCGGCATCATCCGTGACCCGCCTCCTCCTCCTCCTCCTCCTCCTCCTCCTCCCGAGCCTCCTCCTCCTCCTCCTCCTCCTCCTCCTCCTCCTCCTCCTCCTCCTCCTTCTCCTTCTGGCAACACACTCATCATTGCCAGCATCACCATTGACACGCACCGTCAGCTGCAGGAACAACATGTTCGCAGTCCTCATCCTCATCAAGCGCCCATCTACAACAATTGAATAACTTAGGGATGGTCTTCGGCTAGCATAGGCCGAATAGAATTTTTGGGGTGGGTTCCTGACTACAAGTACAGTATAATATACCCCATAACCCTACTCTCATTTCGGCCCGGCCTGAAGCTGGCCGCCCCAGTGGCAAACGTACAAATGGCCCTCTGTCGTTGTCAGCACACCCTGCGGCCACTGGTGGGATTTCACCATGCACTGTACTTCGCGAATTTGCCCGTAGTCATGCGATCTCCGAGTGATAACCACCAGATGGGAATCCTGCATAGCTAAACGATTGATATCTTCCATGCTGCAGGTCCATGCTCCTTTGAGCAGAAGCTTATAACTGGGGGGGGGGAAGGGGGCTCGGCTCTTAGACTAAAAGTCCTCTGCCAAGTTGAGCTCACCAATCGTTGTACCAGAGCGACTCAAGTTCATGAGCACCCCCTCCGCGATGAAATCCACTGCCAGCCCCTCTTTTGCGAGGCCCCGCCCAACCAGCATGCTCTTAAACTCCCCGAGGCTGCAGTTTCTCTCAACCTGAACGTCCTGCTCCTCACCACCCAGCTTGCTGACGCGGAAACGCAGGGAGTCGGAGCTCTCACTCGTCGCAGCCATGGTCCCGTCGAGTGCTGCATGTGGCACAGCTGCCATCGGCTTGCGGCTGGAAGGATCAGGACACTGAGTCAGTAAGTTGGCAAGCACTAATTGTATTAAAGCTGGATGGTTCTCAATCGGCTACATTGCAAGGCTTCACACTTATCTTACGTACTGAAGTCGCCTCAGCCTCCAACGAATACTTCAAGCTGTAGAGACTTGGGTCGCGCGTGGAAGTGCAAAGCAAACTTGCGGACTTGCGAGAGTCACCTACCAACAGTCTCCATTCTAGTTCCTTCTTTGGGTTAACCAGTTTTATGTTTGACCGAGTATGTTTTTGAGACTTATACGGTCACCAAAAAGGGAAGAAGCTATAGAATGGAGACTTTAGGCAACCCTAAATCCCTTTGTCCTCACGCCGCTCGCTCGCAGGGTTTGACTGAGCGCAGGGCCCAAGCCCTGCAACCGAAGAAGCCTCTGGGTTAGTAACTCTGCGCCCCAAACCCCACACCCTAACACCCTCAACTCACTATTTAGGGCTTAGACTTTCGGGTCCCAACTTAGGGTTTAGGATTTAGAGGATACGACACCCGAAACGAACCCTTGGAAAAGCTTAAAACCTCCAACCTCAACCCAGACGCTCTCCACAGCTGGCTGACTCAACCACTCAGGCTCCCCAGTGGGTCTCGGGATTTGCTTCTAGGAGCGCTTTCGCAAGGGTTCAAATTCCAAGGGCTCTACGAGGGTGGCGAAGGGCCAGAGGGTTTCAGGCTGCAGGATTTCGGTTTAGGATTGAGGGTTTAGGGCGTTTGTGTTCACGCTTGGGGTTTTGCCCTTGGGGATTCTGTGCTTGTTGGGTAAGGCGTCGGGAGTTCCTGCTTGGGATCTGGCGTTGGGGCTGAGGGGTTGCGGGGTTGGGTGGGGGCCTGGGGGTTTGGGATTCATGCTTGAGTTTTCGTTGGCATTGCTCCACAGCTCTCAAACCGTTGCGTTGGCATGAATGTGTCACAGACTTGGAGTCGCAAAAACATGATCCTTCACAAGCCATGGAACTTCACTTTCTCTTGCCTGTCGTACTATCTAAAAGCATCATGATCAAATTTGCTCTTCGAAGTAACGTTTTCCATGAGACAGAAGCTAACCTTGGAACCTGTAGTACCTACAAGTGTTACTTCGAGGCCCTCACAAAAAACCTTGCTGGTGACGTGAATCAAGTCTAACCCGATAGTTTAACCCTGCAGTGCTTACACCCCTGCAGCAGCCTTGTAGAACCTTATACAGACTCCTTACACTTACTCCCCTACAACCCATGCAGAACCCTGCTGGGAGCCTTCGGAATACACGTTATCGGAGTGAATGCAGGCGGTTCGCGAAGCGGGCAGCAAAAGGCATGCAGTATCATACAATGCATGCTCCCTAAACCCTAAACCCTAAATCCTAAACCCTAAATCCTAAGGGAGGGGGAGGGGGGGGGAGGGGGGGATGTGGGGTTTTGGGGGTTCGGGATTCGACTCCAAAGTGCACTGCTCTTGTTAGTGATGTAGGGGCCTTGTTGAGTAGAACAGGGGCTCGGGCTTGGAGTATAGCATACTGTAATTATGTATAGCAAGCGCCAGTATTGGCAATTATTTATATGCCCCTATAGTACTCAATTGCGCCAATATTGGCAATTACTTATATGCCCTTTCTTACTCAATTTCCCATTCATAGGGGCTCCATTTCATAAGTAGGTTATAGCTTCTAGACGGAGCCAGAAATGCCTAGGGCCGTGTAGAGTGGGTATTCTGTCAACTCCGATGGTAAGTTGGGTGTGTCTCGCGTGCTTCATGCCGAAAGAGTGTATCCCTTCACGAGAAATGGTTGTTGGTTTGTGTGTCCTTAGGCGCGCGCGCGCGTGCGTGTGTTTGGATGTGTGTTGCCTTCTGCACAGCTAGAACTTGCCAATTCGGGAAGTGAGTCTTGTCACAGAACTCGGGATGAACTGAAACCTCGTCTATCTGACTTCTGCCCACATTAAAGAATTGCTACGAATCTAACTGTCGCTGCGGCGATCATCCCCCTGCACCATGGCGTCGAACAGCGAAGAAAGTGCTGAGAGTTTAGGGTTTGGGTATAGGGTTTAGGGCTTCGAGTTTATAGAGTTTGGTAACCCTAAGGCTCCATGTACCCATATAGTATATACTTGGGCCTTAACGTACCTATATGGAGACCCCTTTAAAGCTTAGGTATCTACTATAACGGTACATGGAGCCTCTGGGTAATTCATAAGCACTAGCAAAGCCCCAACGGGCATGTGGCGCTTGCAGCAGGGTCGGACGCATCCTTCTGGCAGCACAGCTCATTAACGCATCTACACGGGAGGCTTCGCATCAAGATCAAGGTCCTTTCCAAAACCCTAAATTCTAAACGCTAAACCTTAAACCCTAAACCCTATTTACTGTTGTCTGGGCTTCGCATGTCGGGACAATGCTTTGGGTTTAGGGCTTGGCCGTGGTGAAAACTTGGGATCGGGGCGGCTTCCTGCTTGTACATGACATCCTTCACAAGCCCAAACCTAAACCCTGAACCCTAAACCCGCGACCTGAACTCTAGTACCAGTTCTACATGATATACTTCATGGTCACCAACTATTACTAGTGCTACCAGCTTCCGTATTCGGAAGGAACATGCGATCTGGGAGGCAGAAGCCCGCAATGACTCGCCCGTAACAGCCAATCGCTGCAAGCTACGTGGGAGTTACTGTACTGACAATCGAGCCTTGTTGTAGGGATCCGTAGCTTGAGGATCCTTCTTTGTTGTATTGTCCATCTGCAGGGTTCTTATGGTCTGAAACTCCCACATGAGTCGTTTTAGAAACTCCGTATCGGGGCCCAGAAGCACTTGTGCGCACCAGCACCAGGAATCGACACACCCGTCTTGTTGCTCCGTACATCAGCCCGTGTGTCGTTCCACATTCGGGCTGCGCATTCCTGCCTTGCCGCATGCATCTAGGTAAAAGACTTCGTGTACAGATCATCAAATTCTCGACTACATTTGATGCACTGCATACTTGAGGGCATTTCGGCATGCGATGTGCTCAGTTTGATTTTTCTTGCCTTATTGGGCGGGAATCTCAACTCTGGAATACCCCTCCTACCTTTTCGGCTCCTATGTACCCTGCTGAACAGGAGCTTCTGGAAGGGCTCAAATGACGATCTTTCGGATCTCGGGTGCGGTGACTCGTCGGCGCAGCGTCTCCTTGTGATCAATGTGGCTGTGGGTGCTGGCTTTGACAAAACCCCCCATGCACATTATTTTCTTGGGGACCTAATTACTTGCATACTAGTATCGGATTTCATGTATAGACCCTTTCTGGGATAAGTAGTGTCACGAAAATCGAAGGCGTGTCCACGGGCTTCATGCGTGCATCATAGCAGAGCCTTAAGGATGGCTTGGTTTTTGGGCCCAGTCTTGCGGTGCCGTGACGGCGCGAGTTAGGCTTTGGGGTTTCTGGGCTACCCGATGTCCTCTGCCGAAGAACCTGCACCAGGCCAGTGCCACACAAATCTTCATCTGCTGGTGTATATTACGCCTCCTTCAGCACAAAGATTCCTACAGAGGACGCCGCTCCCCGGGTATTTCGGCTTGTTCGACTTTGGTTGTTGTAGCATGCTCGAAGCTCAAAAGCCCTGAAACTACGGATTCCAGGAGCACTTTGGCGCATACGAACTATTGAGATGTCTACACTACCGCAGGCGAGACCTTTGGTAGATTTACATCTCCCCGAAGAGCGAAAGCTGATGACCTCCAACTAGCAACAGCAAGTAAACTCGACGCCCTTAAACCTTTCAATTCACTCAGCTCAGACTTTTCAATGTTCCAAGACGCGGCCAAGGGGAAGGCGAATGCACTGTCTCGACAACCCTTTCCCCGGCCCCTGCTCACCACCCTGAATCTCAACCCTAAGCAGCCCGAACTATGAGACAAACTGAGTCCCAAATCAACGCAAGATGTACTTGCCAGGCCAAGAGTCCGCCAGCTCCTGACAAGCACTAGTCTTTGACTTCAGAAGTCTTCTGGCGATGGGTGCAGGGCTTGCCGATAGTCTCCTTTATACTTACTACGATTGATGATATAAATGCGGCATTAACCGTAATGAGGAACATACCATAGTTCCAACAGCTTAGGGTCATTAACGTAATGCAGGGTTTACATCATCAGCCGTAAGCTCCTTTTGTTAATTTGCTCGTGCGGGAAACCTTATAGGATGCTACGTATGAAAACTGGTTCAACCAGTAAGGAACCACAAGGGAGACAACAGGGACTCTAGGTAAGCCTTGGGGTTTCGGGTTTAGGGTTAGGTTGAAAGGCTCACAGTATATGGTTGCCCCTAAACCCTTAAACCCTAAACCCTAAACCCTAAACCCCCGATCCCAAAGACTTGAGGATGAATGCTCAAAAGCCCCGAACCTTGCTCAATTTCGAACTCGAAAGTCAGAAAGAATCAGAATTAGAACCTGCGCCCAACCCTCTGTGTATCTCTGTGGTCTGCTTTATGAAAACAAGTCTGACCTGTTATCGCAACTGCACACCGCTGTTTAAAACCCGTTGTGAACCCCGCAGAACACCCGAAACACAATGGAGAAGCAATAACGACACCGTCTTCCGGCCAAGAAACCAATCTTAACTGGCCGTAAGCCCACACCCGCAAATCCAGCTCAACGCCGCCCCTCAAACTTACGACCGAACCCCGTGCAGCTGAAAAACGAAACTCCCCCAGACACGAAATCCTACGAGAACCCCTAAGCACGGGATCAGAACCCTGTTAAACCAAAACGACGTTCACGAAGCCAAGAGAACATAACAAGACTACAAAGAAATCGAAGCCCCTAAACCCTGAAACCCACATGGCCCTGTCCCCCCAAAACTACAGAACCCACTTGTTTCTCGGGTTCCTTACTATGATTTCCTGATACAAGTCCTGAAAACGAGAAAAGGTAAAACCCTGAACCCTATACCCTTTGGACACTAAACTGAACCCT